GCAATCGACGAACAACAGGATGATCGTGATCATGATTGTGACCCTCCCTCCACACCTCCGTTCCTTCCTCCCTCCCTTCCTCCCTCCCTCCCTCCCTCCCTCCTTTTCTTCCTCACTCCCTCCCTTCCTCACTCCATCCCTCCCTCTCTTTATATCTCCCTTCTTTCCTCTTTCCTGATTCCCAGCACTGCATAAGCCTTGAAGTATCTCCAGAGATTGTCATGGATACCATGGGAGTGGTTCTGGCTGTTGAGCATCACAAGATGTGATCCTTATATTTATCTGGATATGTTTCTATCTGTCTACCTACCTATCTAAGATAGTTCTATTTTTTTCTAAAAACAATTTGTGCAAAAATGGTAAAGGTAAAGGTAAAGGCCCTCCCGTTGATCGTCGATTTGCTCGAGCGGGCCCAGTAACATCTCCATTGGAGACTTTGTTGTTACTGTGTTTGGCATATCGAATACTCTTGGTAGCTTGCCGGGCTCTCCGAGAGGGGTGGATGAATCGAACTCGGGTCAGCCATGTTGGCCGCTTGTAAGGCGAACGCCCTACCGCTGTGCTATATAAGGATCACACGACTGGTTGTTGTATTGGGGGTGTGTGTGTGTGTGTTTTGGCCATACCCGTGAGTGCTCAGGGGCTACTGGAGGGACCATGTGGAACAGTAAATGGACAGTCTCCAACACGTAAAACATTCATTGCATGTGCTCAGAACATTAATCTATTTCTCTTGCCCATTTTTGTCAGTTCACTTGAAAATACTATATTTCCAAACAAAAATATTTCAAGTTGGTATAAAAATTTAATGAATCAAAATTGAGATTGAGATTATAAAAGTTAATTGATGCATTAATAAAGCATAATGAATGGTGAATATGTAAAAGGCAATGAGATTGTTCTTTAGTGTTAGAACGTCAGGCTTGAGCATTTTCTCTTGCTGAGGTGATTGAATATTGAGCAAACGACAACTGGCTTTGTGGCAATATACCCATTGCATTCTGTGATTTTTTTTTTCTGAGAGAGACATGAGATAATAGGTGTGGAATAACCTTGACAAGCACTTTCAAGCAACATGTCAAGGTCAGCCAGAGGAAGGTATTGAATATATAACACATTCTCCCCATAGAAATAAGATGAACAACAATAAAGTATAACTTCAGACTACTCAGCAAAGCCCCTTAGCACCCTATATAACCTGGATTGTACACAACATCATTTCTAACTGAATTTACAATTTAAATTCAAATTTGAGACAACTTTCTACTTCACACACTTCTACTGATAGTTGAGATTGTCTCTGTAGTCTTTTCTATTACTGCATTCTGCCTCAGAGATATATAGGAAACAGAACAAAAAGATTGGTCATCTTAGGGATACATTTTATCTAGAACCAGGGTCCCTTTTCATAAGCTATGCATTGTCTTTCATGAATTACAAGGTGCTGATGAGAATTTTGTTTAAAGAAAACAAAACAAAGTTTGATCATTTTTCTAAAAATTGTAAATTTATCAATCTATAGACTGGAGTACAGGGGTTTAAGCACTTGTCTTCCATGCTCTCCACGCATATCTCTTCCCCAATACCACAGAGGGTCCCCTGAATATTTCCAGAGTGATTCCTGAGCACGGAGTCAGGATTTTGCCCTGAATACAGCCAGGTGTGGCCCCCAAATAAAAGAAAGCACATCATTTATCAACTATATCTGAAATTTCAGAAGAATGCTAGGGAAGTATAGTAAAATATCAATTAGAGAGTACAGCACAGTGGTTGGAAAGTGGATTTTGATGTCCTACAGATGTGCCTTTACAAGCTAATTCTGCCTCTGAGAACATGCTGGCCTTGGAGCAATATTCTTGACTTCTCTAAATTTTAATTTCCATAGCTTTAAAATGAGGTTTGTACTAAACTATCCATTTAGGTAAATAATGAATGAGTGATGTTCGTGTAGTGTGTGAGAGTAATAGATTCACACAGTAAATACTCAACACTGAAGTTTTTCTGGCTCATTTTTTCTGTTTCTGATCACAGATCAGGAGCAAAATCCTTTGCAGATTGTTTTATGTTGGGTTTTTCTAGATACAGTCCTGAAACAAGGATCTGAGTGAAGCAGGTGATTTCCTTGTTGCTCTGAAGCATTGGTAGAGAAGGGAAATGAATCACAGAAGGGAAAGAAACTAAGCCAGATGTTATAAAGGTCAGGGTTACCATTATAGACTCACAATCACGATGTGAATATTAAAGTGGAGACCATGCATTGTCTTTTGATTCTTTTTTACACCTGAGAACCAGCCTAGTCCTCAAAACAGCAGTTGGAAGTTAATAAACCAGGGTTTCCACATTGGGCTAAGAAGTTTGGATATTTAGTCATCAAATCCAATACATTAGTGGGTCAGCTTATACCTCATTTTGAGCCTTGAATCTAGTCAATTTCCTATGACTAGAAAATATCTCAGTTGCTTGCAAAAAGACAGTGAGCACTATGGAAAGGAATTTATCCAGTGATTTTGGTGGTTATTGAGAGTCAGAAAATTTATTATCCAAGTTCGATACTTCAGTGGGTAAGGCATTTGCCATACATGTGGCTGACCCCAGTTTGATCCCCAGCATCCATATGGTCCAGCACCCCCAGGAGTGCTGAGTGCTGAGCCAGGAGTTCAAAATCTTCCCCAAATCTTCTCATCGTAAGGAAATAGCTTTGTCGACATTCAGCACCAATAGCTTATTTGCGGGGGCTTGGTAATATCAAATACGCGAATTCAGGCAGATACTGGACAAGTAGCAAATACTCAAGGCCAGAAAATGATCAATAGAAACACTGCCATTGATACCTTTAGGCTTAGTTTCACTAAGTGCTGCGGAGCACCTATTACCTGCTAGACCATACGATGGGTAAGTAAACACATTAGGTTTCCGTAATTTCATTGAACATTGAAATGGCTTAATTATTCAGAAAAAAATCCATTTACAGATGGGGCTATTAAAAACAGGCATTCTCATTACAATAAAAACTATCACATTCTATAAATTTAACAAACCAAATCACTTATTTTTGCCTCTCAACAAATGACAAGTCATTTCTGAATATTTAGTACCAGACTTCTGGAGAAATGCTCTATTCATTTCTTTATATTTAGTCATTCTGATGCATCATAATATTTACTCAGAGAAAGCAATCATTTGAGATTTTTTTTTTGGTTTTCCAGCACAACGTTATTCTACATAAGTGCTATTTTAGAAAGCTGTTCGTTTGATTTTAAATTTCTTATTTATAATCTGTTTTAAGGAGGGTATGTGGAAGATGTCTGTCATTCCCATATCAGTCTAGGTACTCAATAAGCGCCTTTCGACTATTTACACCTGCAGACCAGCACCTGTTCTGCATAAAGTCCCTGACTAGCTGTTAAAACCAAGGTCAGTGGTTTTCAACCTTGCTGTACCTGCTGACCGGCACAGCCAAAGGAGCAGTGGTTAAAGACCGCTGCTCTAATGACCTGGTTTAACTTCACAGCACGGTTTCATTTCCAGAAGAGTTCGGAATAGTTATCATGAGTTGACCAAAGAGTCAAGGAAAATTGGACCCTTGGAGCCGGAATATGCAGACCCTGGAAGGTTGCCACCTGCGCCAGCGCACGCCGAGCGTCGGCTCTCGGCCCGCAGGTGGCAGCAGAGGGCTCTGCAGCGCGACTCTGCAGGTTACGGGCGATGTAGCTCCCAACCAACGCTTCCGAACCGGGGTAGGGGGCTGCCTCCTTCTCCAGGAATCCACACCCAGCTCGGAGGATCCGTTGAGGCTGAACTAATTGAGTGTTCAAAACTGACTCCGAGACGTTTCTCCCTCGAATGACAACAATAGTTTGGAAGCAGCAACTCACTGATTGCAACTCTCTTTGGTCCCCACATTTGCCAGCAACTCAAAAAACAACTCGGTTCCTTCCCCCCCGCCGCGAGCCGGGGTCCGCAGGGTCATTCTCCAAGCTCTCGCCCTTCACGGCTGTGCGGGACCCCTGTGCAGTGGCTGGCGGGGAGTACCGTGGCGGTCGCGGCGCCCTTGTCCCCTTCGGTGCTCTGCATGCACGCGGGCATTCGGGGCTGGCGAGGATGCTCGGTCGGGGCGCGCCCCTCGGTTCATCCCCCCCCACCCACCCCTTTTCCTACCCTTCTCATCAATTCCTTCTTCCCTCCACCCAAACACGCCCGCTCCGCGTTCCGGGGCTCGACTGCAGCGGGGTAAGGATGGACTTGAGCCTGGCAAGTCATGGGCACCTGCGGCCCGGACGCTTCCCCTGCGCGCTCTCTCCAGCTCCATCACCTTCGGAGCCGCCCGCACCCGCGCAGCCCCGCGCCGGCCGGAGCCTCCGCCGGCGCCGCCGCGTTCCCCCCCGCGGGCTGGAAGAAGTTGCCGCTCGGGGGAGCGGGCGGCGGGGGATCAGGTGGCGGGCTCGGGAGTAGCAGGATTAACCCATCGGGACGAGGGGAGGAGCAGCGCCGCGCCGCCCGGACCCCGCAGCTGAGCCCGGACGCCCCCGCGAGTCCCGCGCCCCGCCCCGCCCCGCCGCCGGGCCCCGCAGCGCGCGCGGGGCGCAGAGGAGCCGCGGGCGGCGCAGGGAGGCGGGCAGCGCCCCGCGCGCGCTTCAGCCGCCCCCGGAGCACCGGGCGAGCGCGCGTCGGGCGTCGGCCGCGCTGCTGGGGGAGGGGGGCGTGGGGCGTCGGCGCCGGCAAGCGGCGGGGGCGAAACTTCGGGGCCAGATGCCCGAGGGCGCGGCGGCGCTGCCAGGCTGCCGCTGCTGCCCCTGCGGGCCCTGGGCGCGACTCGGCGGGTGGCGCTGCCCGCGGCGCGGCGTGTGCAGAGAGCGAGTGAAGGTATGTGCGGCGGGCGCGGCTGGAGCTGCCGCCGCCGCCGCGCCAGCAGGTCCTAATGCCTGTCACTTCCCCGGACGCTGGCAGCAGCAGCAGCCCCGAGCCCCGGAGCCCTCGGCAGGTCTGCCCGTCCTTCCCCGCGATCTGATTGGATAAAGTGGGGGCTCGACGGTGGCCGACGTGGGACAGTCTGGCTGTGGCAGGGGTCTCGGAAACCATGGGTTATTGCAGTGGCAGGTGCACGCTTATCTTTATCTGTGGCATGCAACTGGTAAGTGACACTTTGGTCCTCTTTTTTTTTTTTCTTTCCTGCAATGTGCCTTTGAGCTAGCGAGCAAGAGGAGTGCAGCAAGGGGGGGGGGGGGTCTGTCATTGAGTGGAATGGAAGGGAATTATTAAAGGTGACAGATAGATTGCTTTTATTTAAATGTATTTTAGGGAGCTCTACTGTAGGGTACCGGGGAGGTGAGCCTTTCTGTCCCCATCTGTTTCTGTCCCCCTGAAAACCGTTTGACAGGTGCGGGTTGAACTTGTTTTTAATTTAAGTAAAGCAAGATGTAGCTCTCGTTCCTTTATGCTTTGCATTCCTATTACTGTAACAACGTGGTTGTCACATATAGTTTACCTTCAGGTGTTTGAGCAGACAAATAGGTTGTTCTTTTGTACTTTTGGGGGCCATGTACTCATTTTTGTTGTATCTTTTTTTTCTTCGTTGACTTGTGTTATTTTTTCAATAGTCTTACAATTATAACGCTGTAGCAAACCGCTATGTAGGACAGATGGTATTCTTACAGCAGTGTTATCTAGAAGCTACACTGAGTTTTAAAAGTATGTAGATTGAAGAATATACTTAGGTAAAGTCAGAGATACTGCTGGCATAGTTTGCCCAATAGTCTTTAAGTCGTAATTATTACCTACAATTCTAAGGGCAATATCCTATCTTAAATTGTTCATGTAATTTCCCTTGATATAGATAGTTCATACTATTGAATGGAGAATTAGATGTACTTTTTGAGAAATGTACAACTGCAAGATACAAGAGCCAATAATGAAAAATGTCACATTCCTGAATTTAATTTTTTTTTAGGATGAGCTATTTAGGAAATAGTTTAGAGGAGAAATTTTACCATCCTAAGAGGTTAATTTGAAGTAGGAGTTATTTTCTCACTCATCAAACATCTTTCCTTGAGAAGTATGAATTAATCTGAACAACCACCCAATTCCCAACAATTGTTTCATGAAGACTGAAGATTGTGGTGCTAAAGATTTCTGAGACCCCAAACAGGAAAGTGTTCCAAACAGCATAGATTTGCTATTGAAATGGACAGAATTCCTTAAGTGACTTAAAAAATGTTCACTAGTGATGAAGCACTGAATGATTGTTGTTTTGTTCTTGTTGTTTTAATACTTTCACTAAATAAGTGTATCTTCTCTTGCATGTTACCACAGGATATTTTTTGTTCACAGGAAAGTTATGTTTTGATCTATGAATCACTATGTAATTATAATATAAAGATGGATCTGTGCATATATTATGATTTTAGTAGTTTTCTAATGTATTAACTTGTTTTTTCTTACCATAATATTCACTTAGGTTAGAAGTAATCACTTAGCCAAGAACTTTACTCTTAATGATAAAGCTAATGAGAATTATGAGAGTTTGCTTTGTTAAACCTCCAGTTAGGCCAACTGTGCTAAATGGTATAAAATTTTTCAGGAATTTTATTCTATATGAATAAACACAGTGTATTTGCTGATTCACTGTGTAAAGGCATAAAACTGTGAGAATCAGTAGGTAAGAGGATTCATATTTTCTTTTTAATTAAAATGCATCTTAACTTTATTCATTTAGTAGAGTTGGGCTTTTTTATGGCAGTTGTAGGAATTAGATCTCACATGTGTTAGACATTTTGTGTGATGAATGCAATCTTCAAAATTAAAAGTTTTAGAAAAACGTACAAATAAGGAACGTAATTTTACAAACTACCTTCATAAAGTTTAAGGTTTCTGAGTGATTGTGTTTGCACACGTGTGCACATGCGTCCCATTGTACACATGCAAATGTGTGACGTTATATTGGAGAGTTGCAACATTCCTTCTGAACAAGGAAACTAAGTTCTTGAACCAAATATAAATTCTTTAATAAAACAGAAGTAGCTATGATGTGGGCACATAATCTTATAACTGCACAGCTGGATTTTTAGGAGTATTTTGTGATTGATAAGAATATTGTGATTTTATCCATTTAGACTTCATGTACTACCAGGCTGTTACAATTAGCAGCCATGTTAATGCAGATGCAAAACAAAAAATGAAGGATGAAGAGATTCCATGTGGTTTGATAGGGTGAAATGATCACATTGAAGGAACTCACAGATTCCTATTAATTGTTCCTTCTTAAATATATTTAATTTTAAATAATACAGTTATTTTGCAAATCAATAGTTGAGAATCACTGACCACACTAGACAAGGATGTACATGCTCTCATTGCTCTTGAGAGATCTGTTGCGTATTTGAGCATTTGTAAGAAAAGGTGACTTTGTAAGTAGCTATGTTTCCAGAGTGAGTTACGACTCCCCTACCTTGACTGAGCACAGAAGTTCAACCAGTGGTATTTACTTCAAAGTGTTCTGATACACTTTGGCATGGTTTTTATGTAGTTTGATAGACTATATTTATTCAAATTAATTAAAGTCAAAGATTGCCTCAGAATCTTTCTTATTAAGAAACTTTAGTTTCTAGAAAATTTGTCTTTAATTCTAGGTACAGGCTACTTAAAATTTAATTAGACTCCAAATACTTGGGCTACATTAACTTCTATCTAATGGTGGTAAGGGCTGAAGTAACTGCGTATTGTAGCTATGAAAACTCATCAGTTTACTCTATCAGGTCAAACACAAAACACACCATATATATGTGTGTATATATATATTTATATATGTATAAAATAAAAATATATAGGTTACTAACCTTCAAGTTCCTATCAAAGTAGATCCAGTGATTTGATACAGTGACAATTAAGGGACAAAGAAATTTACCTGTCAGAACTTCTTCTAAAGAACTTAAAAGTTCTGTTAAGATATGCATTGAATTTATTTGGCCAACTGCAAATATAGATAAATATACTTCTTTTTAAATGAGATCAGTTTATAAAACAAGAAATTCAAATTTATACAATTCAGGAATATTAGATACAAAATTTTCTTTTTTTTCTTAAAAATCATCTGCTACTGTTTATCATAAATTAAAATCTTTCGGGTGAATGGTTTCTGCAACTTCAGAGTTGAGGACGATTCTTCTGAAAAAGAAGAGTGATCTCAGGAAACTGATTTGCTCCATGTTCGGAATTTAGAGTGTAAGCTTGTAATCACAAGAAGGTAATTTTCTTTTTATCACTGCTGTCCTTAATGCTCAAAAAAAATGAAGATTTCAGATAGTGACTAAAATCACTTCCTTGGAGTGTGGTTATAGTCATACAACTTTCAGTAGCTTGTGAAAGAGATTTGGCTGGTGTTAATTTTCCCCTTCAATGTCTGAATCAAAGAGTACTTTATATAAATGCTGAAAAAATTACTCAGATATTTTTCTGTGAAAAATCACTGTTATAATATTGAAGAACATAACTTATTTTGGGTTGAAAAGACAGCTTTGTTTTCAAGTAAGGAAATTCAAAACCACCCACATTTTTTGCACATCAGACTCTTCTATGGCACAAAGTGTATTACCATAAACTATTGAAAGTCTAGATTTACATTCAACAGATTAACAATTGAAAATTGCCATTCTTGCCATGTGCTCTACGAAAAAGAGCTAACTTGGAGCAGGTGCAGCTGATAATTAGGTTAGTACACATGTGTGCAGCTGTGAGAAGAAGTGCAATTTAAACTTAATTTATAATGATCAGCTGCTTTCTATTGTACAGTTACTAAGCATTTTCAGAGGTACACATTTGTTAAAAAAAAAGGCCATGCTTGCATAGGTGAACTAAGTCAACAATTATACTTATGGAGTACTTCAGTAATATCAGTTGTGATTTTTTTTTGCTATTATCATATGTGTATGACCTTTGGTTACTTTATTAGAAAGTAAAACATTGACATGAAGTGGTTTGAAAAGGACTGATAGAACCTCATGATTTTCTAGGGATACTTTCAGTAAATTTGAGAGTTCTATGAAGTGCAAACATTTGCTTGCTACAAACTGTCCCGTTTCTGACAATTTAAAATTTTGGATTCTGATGCCACTGCTAATAAAACCCTGAGGTGGCTGACTTTTCTGAATCCCATGGAAGACAAGTTTTTAAAAAATGTATTTCAGAAACTTATGATGTAAAAATGTGCTACGAGTTGTTAAATTGTGAAGGGTATCTTTCTTCCTTTGAAATATATTCTATCTTTGCAGGATTGCAAGTCTTGCAATATTGTCATTCATATATATTCAAGAGAATATACATGTGCTTATGTACATATGTATATATAATTTACTCTAGTTGTAATTGTGCACCACTGTCTTCTAATATATGTATAGCAGGACAGTTGTCGAAACTTCCTTAGTCTTTTTGGATCCCTAAACCAAGAGGCAAACAAGCTTCTTATTTTCATACATCCAAAGTTTCAAAGAGCCAATCTGTGTAGCGCTGTCTTCCTGCTTTCCTGAATAAAGGCTTAGCTGGGCAGCATGCTTTGTGCAAAATGCCAGATTCATCCCTGGCATGGTACCCACATGTGGGCAGTGGTTCAGAAATGTAAATAGGCTTTGCCACCTCCTTTTCTTTTTGATGCTGCTTTACTTTGGGGTCAAGTTCTCTTCTCTGGTCAAGAATTTCAGAGTGGCAGACACAAATTTCTTAAAATCTGAGTTGTAGTTCTTCATTATTTTCTTTTTGTATGCGTGTGTTTGATAAAAATATGAGGTAGAAGCATCTTCGCATTTATGTTTATATTTGAAAGCAAATATTTAAATTATGTCATCAGTTACATTAAATATTTGTATATACTGTTAATAGTTAAAATTTTTAAACCTGGATTTTTAAGATAGAATTTTAGGAAATTCAGTACATTTTTTCAAAAGTAAGTCATTGAAATTTAAACTACTGACAGAATAAATTTCTTTCTATTCTTATCTCATAACACTCAAGTTTCACAGTCCAACACACAGAAGCACTTTAGGTATTTAGTTTTTTTTAATTATACATTGAAATCTAGTTTTTGCTCCCCACTTTCCTATAGAATCCTCAGAGCATAGTTATTTTCTTTAATTTACTTTCCTT